CCAGATCCAGGGCTTGAACTCGTGGCCTGGGTTGGGCGCTGTCCCTGAGCTGCTTTTGCTCCAGTGCTGGCGCTCTACCCCTTGAGCCACACAGCGCCGACTTCTGGCTTTGTGGTAACGGAGGAATCGAACCCGGGGCTTCGTTGCATGCTAGGCAAGCACTCTTCCCCCCCCCCCATTGAGCCACCTTCCCAGTCCCCCAATGATGAGATTCGCAGCCTGGGACATGTTTTTCTCTTTCTCTCTTCTTTCTCTTTCCTTCTTTTCCTCTTCCTCCTCCCCTCTCCCCCTCCCCCCTTTTTGCTGCTAGTACTGGGGTTTGGACTCAGGACCTGGGCACCAGCCCCTTAACTTCTTTGCTCAAGGCCTCACGCTTGAACCCCACACCTCTTCAGTGGTTCATTGGAGATAAGAGTCTCACCGACTTTTCGGCCCAGGGCTGGCTTTGAACCATGATCCTCTGATTTCAAGTCTCTTGAGAAGCTAGGGTGACAGGCGTGAGCTGCTGCGCCCCCCCCCCCCCCCCCGCCCCCAGAAGCTCAGTTTTGACCCATGCATTGTAGTCCTACCATAGGAACCAGCAACCCCACCATTATCTTGACCCAGTGGCTCAAGCCTGTCATCCTAGCTACTCAGGACACTGGGAACTGAGGATTGCAGTTCAAAGCCAGCCTGGGCAGAAATGTCCCTGAGACGTTATATCTCAAATAAACTACCAAAGAAGTCAGAAGTGGGCCTGGGAATATGGCTTCGTGTTAAGAGTGCTCGCCTAGCATGCATGAAGTCCTGGGTTCGATTCCTCAGTACCACATATACAGAAAAAGCCAGAAGTGGTGCTGTGGCTCAAGTGGTAGAGTGCCAGCCTTGAGCAAAAGAAGCTCAGGGACAGTGGCCAGGCCCTGAGTTCAAGCCCCAGGACTGGCCGCCCTCCCCCCCCCCCCCAAAGGACACAGGAGCCAAACGGAAGACAATTGAAGTGACAAAACTGAAAATAGTAACACATTATAACCCACAGATTTAAAAAAAAAAAGGATCCCTCAGTCGATAGCATTATGAATAAATGATTGAATAAAGTGACTCAGAGAGAAGGAACAGATCTTTCTTGCGGAATTCCAACTAATGCAAGGGCAATGGTACAAATAGAAAAAGAAAAAAAAAATCACTATTGGGCAGACGGCAACAGCAGTGATTGTTGCTGACGAGATCTGCCGACAGGTGCTAAAATTAGTAGTTGAAACAGATCTGCACAGTCCCCAAAGTCTCTTCCCAAAGAGAGCCAGGTTACCTACCAAGGTTAAAATAATAGTAATAATAATATAATAGAAACTGCAGCGGCGAAGCCAGGCAGAGCAGCCTGTACCAAGCCACCAGAGCCCAGAGCTCTGACGTCACCTGTCCCCTTGCTGACGTCACAACCCCCTTCCTGCTCAAACTCTACAATCAGTCGAGATTTCTCAGTGGGGAATTCTGGTTCCAGCACCGGTTCTAGCTCGCAGATCACCTTAAACCCAAATGGAGGGACATTTTCCAAGATGAGCTTGGAAGACAAGGTAAATTTGGGAACCTCTGATACAAATAATGGAACAGTTAGTTGTCTTATTTTACTCTTCTGGTGCTGGTCCTGGGACTTGAACTCAGGACCTGGACACTGACCCTGAGCTTTTTAATTAAGTTTTTGCCAGTCATGGGGTTTGTACTCAGGGCCTGGGCGCTGTCCCTGAGCTTCTTTTGCTCAAGGCTGGTGCTCTACCACTTGAGCCACAGCACTACTTCGAGCTTGTTCTGTGCATGTGGTACTGAGGAATCGAACCCAGGGCTTCATGCATGCTAGACGAGTACTCTACCACTGAGCCACCTGCCCAGCCCAGGATTCTTGTTCATGGCCATGCACATCAGTCACCAGACAGAAGAACGTTTGGTGCTCTCACTGGGTTTTTGTTGCTGGTGGACCACGCAGGTAGGGTGCTCTGGATGGGTGGAGCCACAGGCCCTCTGGTAACCTAGCAACCCAAGGCTTCTTGCTGTAATGACTCCCTGCCCAGCCAGAGTGCTCCGGCAGCAGTTACAGGTGGCCAAGAAAGCTGTGGCTATTTGCTCAGCCAGCCATATGGTGGTTGTTATTCCGGCGGCTCTGGCGCTGTGCTGAGAGACAAAGCCATCGATAGGTAGTTATAAAACCACCACGCTAGCCAGGTGCCGGTGGCTCCCGCCTGTCCTCCTAGCTACTCAGGAGGCTGAGATCTGTTCAAAGCCTGCCCAGGCAGGAATGTTTGTGAGACTCTGATCTCCAATGAACCACCAGAAAACCCAAAAGTGGCGCTGTGGCTCAAGGGGTAGAATGCTTACCTTGAGCTAAAGAACTGAAGGACAGCGCCCAGGCCCAGAGTTCAAGCCCCACAACCGACAAAAAATAAGAACCACCACTCTTCAGAGCAAAAAGAAACCCTAGAAACATTATTTGCTCTAACTCTTTCTGTCCTCCTCCTCTTGTTCCCCCCCCCCCCATCCCCACCTGACCTAAGTCTTGAACTCAGGGCCTGGGCAGTGTCCCCTGAGCTGCTTTTGTTCAAGGCTAGCACTCTACCACTTGAGTCACAGCGCCACTTCCAGCTTTTTCTGTGTATGTGGTACTGAGGAATCGAATCCAGGGCTTCCTGCAAGCTAGGTAAACACACTACCACTAAGCCACCTTCCCAGTGCATCTGATATCGTGTGTGTGTGTGCGCGCGCGCGCGCGTGCGCGCATGCGCACACACGTGCACACACCAGTAATGGGGCTTGAACTCAGGGACTGAGCACTGACCCTTTGCATTCTCTACTCAAGGCTGGTGCTCTACCACTTGAGCCACAACTCCCCTTCCTGCTTTCTTGAGGTTGATTAGCGACAATATTTTCACAGATTTGTCTGCCAGGGCTGGCTTTGAACCACCGTCCTCAGATCTCAGCCTCCTGAGTAGCTAGGATTATATAAGCTTGAGCCACTGGTGCCTGGCTTTTTAATTTTTGGCTGGCTAACTGCAAATAAAAGTCTCACAGGTTTGTTTTCCGTGGCTGGCTTTGAACCAGGATCCTCAGATCTCAGCCTCCTGAGCAGCCCCTAGCTGCAGCCCTCTTGCTCCATGCAAGGGCCCAGTGTGTGTGTATGTTCGTCGCAGGCAGAGGGACCTTCCGCATGGGCTGACCCTCAGCTGCCCAGGGGGTTTCCACCAAGGGGGGGGAAGGAGGGTGC